CCTATCTGTACCAGTGTACCTCCTCTGGTCTAGCCAAGACTGTAAATCTTTATGGAAGCAGACAACTTCATCTTTCTCCAGTAGAGCAACTTGTGTGTTTGAACCATTGACCTTATGGTTAGCAGCCCCATACCTAACCCCGAAAGTCACCAGAGCTCCATTTTTGTATTCATCTAATGGTATATAAGACAAACATGACTCACTGACTATATACAAACCATACCTGTTTTGCCTTGAATGTTCAGATTTGACATAGCATAATTAGGTGTAGAACATATCTGCAATCCTGGAACTGCTGGTATTTTTGGTTGTCTTTCGTTTAAAATGAAGTCCTGTGGTACAAATGGTCAACTTGCTCAGCTGCTAACCAAATATGGCTTGAATACACCTAGAGTCACCTAGACATAAAGATTTGATGAATTACTGCTAAGAAAGCCATTGAAAATCTTACGGAGACTAGTTCTGTGGTTTAAATGATTGTTTAAATGATTTGACTTGATGGAATTTTTTTATTCTTAAAATTGTAAATGAATGATTGTTGTTAATGTATGCTACAAGAGGGTCTTTATCTAAAAACATTTGTTTTCTTTTAAACAGTACATCAAGAAATTCACCTAAAAGAGGAACTCTACAGATATGAATTAAATACAGATTTTTGCAACAAAAATTCAGTGCTCAGTGTACATCAGCAAAGTGATACAGGACAGAAGTCCTTAGAATGTGATGAATGTGGGAAATCAGCATATCAGAATGAACACCACATACAACACCAGAGGATCCACTCAGGGAAGAAGCCTGGCGGACGTAAGGAACAACGGGAATCCTTTTGTTGGAAGTCACGTGGTAGAACTCATACGTGTACCAAATTCTATGAATGTCAGAAATGTGGGAAATCTTTTTGCTGGAAGTCAAATGTCAGTGAGCATCTAGAAAGTCACACCAAAAAGAAAAATTATGAACATAATACGTGTAGAGAATATTTTAAGAATTTTGCTCACAAAGAGCACCAGATGAATGGCTCAGACAAGAGATTCTATCAATGTAATGAATGTGGGAAAGTGCTCTCAAGGAATTCTGCCTTCAAAACACATCAGAGAATCCACACAGGGGAGAAGCCTCATAAGTGTAGTGAATGTGGGAAAACCTTCTCCCAGAAGGTACACCTCAGAAGACATCAGAGAGTTCACACAGGGGAGAAACCTTACAAATGTAATGAATGTGGCAAACAATTTGCTGATGATTCAAGCTTTAGAGTACATAAGAGGTTTCACAACGGGGAAAGACCCTACGGATGTAATGAGTGTGGGAAAGCTTTCCATTTGAAGTGGGAGCTCATTATACATCAAAGAATTCATACAAGGGAAAAACCCTTTGAATGTCAGGAATGTGGGAAATCTTTCTACCGGAAGGACCACTTCCGTACGCATCAGGTGGTTCACACAGGAGAGAAACCCTATAAATGTAATGAATGTGGGAAAATGTTCTCTCTAAAAGCGCATCTTCGCGTGCACCAGAGAATTCATACAGGGGAGAAACCCTATGAATGCAATAAATGTGGGAAAGCTTTCACCCATAGGGGAACCCTCACAACACACCAGAGAGTGCACACAGGTGAGAAACCTTATGAATGTAATGAATGTGGGAAAGCTTTTACCCGAAATGATAGTCTTTTATTACACCAGAGAATTCACACAGGAGAGAAACCCTTTGAATGTACTGAATGTGGGAAGACGTTTTCCATAAAGTCATACCTCATTTTACATGAGAGAATTCACACAGGAGAGAAGCCATATGCATGTCATGTATGTGGGAAAGCTTTTGCCCAAACTTCAAATCTCAAAGTACATGTAAACACTCATACAGTAGAGAAAACACACAGGTAGTGAAAATGGGGAAACCTGTCAGAAACCAGGGTTCAACACACATGAGAGGAGTCACACATAGCATAAAATATATGAATCTCTTGGATGTGGGAAAGATTTTAATAACTCCACCCCCAGAAACCATTGGCTAATCCATGTAGGATAAAACCTTTGAATGCAATAAATTTAGGAGAATTTCTGTAGGGCAGGGTTGTAAATTCATTTGAATACACCCAAGAGAAAAACCTTTTCCTTAAAACTCACTCAAGGGGTAAAACACATCACACAGTCCAACAACTTGTACTGTAAGCATACTCTTACTTTAGGCTTGTAGCTATTCTAGACTTTGTCCTCGATTCATCTAGATATACCTGGTACTGCTAGTGTCTTAGACATGCCACATAGGCTACATCCAAGTCTAACTCGCATTCTTCCTTACCCTGTTAAAAAGGGAGGGAAACTCCATACGTCCATAGAATAGGATGGCTTAAATTCAGCATGGCAGAGCATATGGTGAAAGAACCTAAGGTTCTTCAGTAAATAATTTGAGCCAAATTCTCCCCAAGTCAAGAGCTTGCTTCAGTTGAGGTTTTTGTTGTTGTTTTTTTAAGCAAAATATGCTTGTGTTCTAAATTGAACACTTAGCTGTTCAATTGCTTAGATATATGTTTGGGTGGGCTTCAGCCCTGTGAGTACGTTGAATGTGACCAGAACTGAGAACTTGGCCTCATATATTAGTAAACTCCCTCAAGAAAGCTACGTTAGCCACTATTGCCCTAACACAACTACAAGTAGGTTGTTTAAAGGACAGTGATTAAGATGTCCTCCATGCTAAAAGCAGGTACAAGGTGGTACTATTAGGAGAGACTATTACCGTCTCATTGGAAGTTGGGTTGCTTAATAAACATTGTTATTCTAATATCTAAATGAGTATCCATCTATCATTTTTGGAATAAAATAACCTTTTTTTTTTAACAAGCTTTTTGTGATTTATGTGAAGGTCAACAGGTCATCAGTGTGTTTTTTTTAATATGGAATGCTTCACAAATTTGCATGTCATCCTTGCGCAGGGGCCATGCTAATCTTCTCTATCATTCCAATTTTAGTATATGTGCCGCTGAAGCAAGCACTGGGTCATCAGTTTTGTTTTTTTTTTGGGGGGGGGTGTCCTCAGTTTTATGTTCAACAGTTCATACATATTTTGTCTCAACTTACATATTGCCATTCCCTTAGTGTAACATTACACCACTTGCTCCCCGTGTTTCCTGTTTCCATTTCTCTTTCGATCCTCACTTGTTTCACATTGTCCTGGGACAGATGCTGCCCTTTTGATCCTGAGTGGTTGATTAGTCTAATTGAAGGGTGGCAGAAGTCCATCATCTTGAGTGCTAGTCTCTTGTTAAAATCATTTTAGTAGGGGCATATGCAACTTATCACAATCCATACTTACATCAATTATGTGAGGCACGTTTGTACATCCATTGCTCTCATCATTCTCAAAACATTTGCGTTCCATGTAAGCCCCTGGCATCAGCTCCTTATTTTCTCCCCTCCTTCCCC